GGAGGGAGGGAGGGAGGGAAGGAGGAGAAAGAAAGGGAAGGGAAGAGAAGGGAAAGGAAGGGAAGGGAGAAAGAAAGAAATGCAAAGCCTTTGAGAGAAGTAACACATTAAACCTTTCTGGTTATTGAACACTTTAGTGGGAATTCATGGAGGAAAGTCCTCCCTAATTTGACAACCCCACAGGATAGGTAAACTTTGGCCACTTTGTGTATGGAGAGAAAGTATTGAAAGGTTGACCTGGAGCTCTGTGGGGGAGCATTTTGTCAGACATGGTACCAAGAAGGAAGTTTCTTGCGGGAGAACGGTAACATGCACCGATCCCCGATGTAACATTTCTTCCCAGGGTAGAAATTATATAACATACTAGAGGCCCAGCACATGAAATCGCTCACGGGCAGGGTCCCTAGGCCTAGCCTGCAATCAGGGCCATCTTCTGCCCGCTCACCAGTCCCCAGTCCTGCCGCCACCACCCACCCAGTTCCCCATTCGTGATCGGAGCCTGTGGGCTGGGGGGAGGGACCAAGAGGTTGGCCGTTCATTTGCTTGCCAGTCCCCAGACCCGCCCCACCGCCACCCACCCCAGTTCCCCATTTGCCATCCAGCGATTGGAGCCTGCGGGCTGGGGGAGGCGGTGAGGGACCGAGAGGTGGTCAGTGCACCTCATAGCGGCCTTGCAGATCACTGGGCGTGGCCAATCTTCACGTGAGTAAAAAGGGCTACCGATCCATCGCATACATTCCAATTTAGGTAGAAATGCAGTAGATCAAAATGGAGCCCCGTAAGAAATTTCCTCGCAGTCTGAAAACAGGAATTGAGAAGGGAAAATGCCACCTTCTCATGATCGAAGGTATCCCATTACCAGCAATGATGGCTCTGAATTTAGCTGTCGGAAAGATCTCCGAGGGAAATATGTTGGTTTGTTCAGTCTAAGAAGGGTTTAATTGGCTTCTGTCAGCTTTTATGAAAGTGCTACTTGCCACTGAACCCCACATGGATTCTGCAGCTTTTGAATTTAACAGCTGACAGCTGAGTCTTTGCAGGCTGTGGAAATGCTGAACGTGGGTCAAGAATAGGTCTCTTCCTATAGTTGTGCCAAAGCTTGTCTATCCGAATTTCTTCAAGCGCCCCCCCTCCCCTGCCCCTAAGCAGTGCAAACAGATGGAGGTCATAGGAACAAAGAGGGGGCCCCGTCCACAGCCTCAGCTCTTTCTTCATGTTATTTCCTGTAAGTGTATATGTTTCATCGCTTCCAGAAGCAGGCTCCGCGGGGCTCTTTGTTTCACTGCAGTGTCCCTAATTCCTAAAATCATGCTTGGCACGTTCCCGGAGCTCAGTAACTTCAGGGTGGGGCAAAAGGCTTACTGTTGTGTGTATACAAACAGTGCTTACCCTGGTATTATTATTTATTAATTATTGTATTATTTTCCCCATGAACAACTGCAAACCTACCTTTGCTCCACCCTGTGTTAGTTGAATGAATGGACGTTCCCACTGGGGGCTTCTATAGCCTCCTCCCGGCCCACACAGCTCTCTTCCGGACACTGCTGTGTTTGTAAAGTACCGCGATGGGCACGCGTGCTTGGGATTCCTCAGTGGTGGTTGTGTAGAGCAGGGGATGGCTCTCTTTTCAGGTTACTCTCTGTCACTGGGTTGCTTGGGACCCCCAATGTCTGAGTTCTTGTGAAGTCATTTGTGCCATTCACTGCTGGTGGGTCAGTCTGATACTCCCCTTCAGCACCTCCCCTTCAGCCTGCCCCTTGCCACTGCTGTCCAGAGTCATGTCACGTACCCACTATCCCCGCCAGTCTAGCCGTTAGAGGAGGCAGGTGTCACTATTCTGGCAAATGAGACATAGGAAATGTGCTGCAAAGGTTCCTCTGATGCCTCTGTTTTCTTTGCAAAAGGGACAAGCATAATAGCTTTTACTCTTCATTGATTGGCTGCCTCTCGCACATGCCCTGACCAGGGATCAAACCTGAAACCTGGGTATGTGCCCTGACCAGGAACCGAACCCGTGGCCCTTTGGTGCATGGGACAATGGCCAGCCAACCGAGCCCCCGTCCAGGGCAGGAAGCTCCTTTCTGGCTGGGTTTATAATGACAGAGAGATAGACACTTCAGGTACCAAGAGACAGTGCTTGTGTAAAGGATTCCACACCTTTCTGTGGTTTTTGCCAAATCTTGTTTCTGCATTTCCATTCTAGGATGGGCTGTTCTAAGTGCTCCCCCCCCCCTTTTTTTTTTTTTACTTTTCCAAGGAGGAAAATGTGGGTCCCTGTAGCCATGCATGCCCTGCGCCCTCCCTCCCCCACGGCAGCCCCATTAGACGTCTCTGTTGCCCCCTGGGAAACAAAGGGAGTCGGAGGCCCACAGACGGACCCAGCAGGAGAAGACATTCGGGCAGAGCATTTGCATCCATCACTCCTATTCCTTCCACTGAAAAATCTACGCGTAGAGGTTGTCCAAGGCGGGCGCCATTGTTTAACATCAGTGATGATGTCACGACTCCCACCTCTGGAGGAAGAGAGTGGCTCACTCAGAGGGCCTCAGGGCCCATTCCGGGTTTTTTCCCAAGCGGCACCTGTTATGCTAATGCATGGCGGACTCATAGTGAGTGACAGTCCTCCCCCGAGAAGCCAGATCTTCCCCCAAACAATTCTCACTGGACAGTTACCTGGCTGCCTGGCCTTTGTTATTCTCCTTTTATATGTTACCCACACCCCCCCCCCCCCGCCCCAACAAACATAAACTACTTGAAGCCAGTGACTGTGCTTCCCGCCTTCTTTTTCTATCCCCCGTGGCGCATGCTCACTGTCACTGAGTAGCACGGCGAGGCAGGGAGGGTTTGAGTTCTGGAGCCAGACAGAATGGAGTTCAAGTCCCTGCCCTGTCCCTTGCCGGCAGGTGAGCTTGGGTCAGGGGCCTGTCCTCCCTGAACCCGGTGTTGCCATCTCTCTCATTCGGAGGTGACAGTTTGTACCTCACGTATTGTAGATGGTTCTGAAATATCACACGTGAGGACTTGCTCAGAGCCTGGCACGTGGTGAACACTCAGTATGCGCCAGCTGTCATCCTCGCTGTCACCACCACTACAACTACTGGTTTGATTTGCACCAGAAGTCGATCCTAATCTCTACATGTTTCCCTGTGGCTCGTCAGCTTCTAGTTAGCCTGGTTTCGATTAATCGGTGCTTTATAGTCGCTCAAAGAGTTGAAATTTGTAAAGGCACGAGCCTTCAGATCTGCACAGGGTCACCTGGAGGTCTTCATGGTTCCCGAGAACGTGGTGTGGAGGCAGCGGGATTTCAATGAGTCCTTGGCATCGGAAGCCCTAGTTTATCCAACAGTTCCTCCCTGACCTCCACCCTCGTCCCAAGAGAAAGATATTCCAGCCTCTACGTCTTCCTCTACTTTCTTCTTCTCAGATGGACAACTCTATTGCACTTACTCAAGTACATGGCTTCTTCCTTTCTCATATCTCTCTCTCTATCTCACTCGTGCGCGCGCGCACACACACACACACACACACACACACACACACACACACACACGAGTCTGAGTGAGCTGTCCTTCTCTGAGTTCCCACAGCACCCAGTGATACATCCCCAGCACATCATTAATCACCCGGCATTATAACTGCCTCTTATACATCCTAACCCAAACATGCACACTATAGATTATCAAATTTTTAAAGGCAGATCTCATTTGTTACAAGAGCACGGTAGCAAGGGTTCATACATGTCGGCCAAATGAATGAAAGTGCAATGTAACTGACATCGAGGGTGTGCTTGCTGTGTGTCAGGAGCTGTTCTAGGAGCTTTGGGCGCCTCAGTTCATGCTCACAGCAACCCACGAGGAGGCACCAGGATATCCCCATTTTACAGATGGCAACACTGAAGCAGAGAAGAGCTGCAGTTTGCCTGGGGTCACAGGGCTGGTAAGAAGCAGATCCAGGGTTCAAACCCAGGCTCTCTGGGTCCATTGCTCATGCTCTCACACTCACCTTGCTCCTCATCCTCTCCCTCATTCCCCTCCCCCCCACCGCTGAGCTGGGACGTTCAGTCCCAGAGGGGGCTGCTTGGATGAAACCCTCTTCTGTGCAGGAAGGCCACATCTTGCAGAGTGAGCTCACTATTAACCCTTAGAAACTAGAGGCTCGGGAACCCTCGGGGCTCCCCTGTAAGCCCGGCTGAATTTTACGCTTTCTTTTGTGCACTGACTCCCTCCCCAGGACTTTGGGTGAACCACAGTGGGCCAGTGTGGCCTTTGACCTCTCCCCTACTGTTCACCTACCTTGGCCAATCAATGGTGATATCAGGGTTTGTGGATACAATAACAAAACGTACTTTACGAATACGTAACTGGTCTATCCAGTTAGGATCATTTAAAAGCAGAAACAGTTGACTCTGGTCATTAAAGCAACAACAGTATTTCATGTCACTTATACACATTATCAAGTGATAGTATCATGCTAAACACTTTCCATATCTTCACTTAATCCTCACACCGTTTCTGCCGAGTTGATGTTCCTGTGCTCACTTCACAAACACGGAAGTAATGGCTCAGGGATGCTGACCAACTTGTCTAATGTCAATAACAGGTGAAGAGCAAACTCAGGCTTCAAAACCAAAGTGTGGCATCCGCGCTCGGCCCGTGAGAGAGAGGATGTCCCAGAACCTGGAGCCAGCCGCGCTCTGAAAATACTTCCTGCAACGCCAGACCTACAGTCCCTCTTATTGTTTCCTGACATTCTGCAGTGTCACTACAGGTTGATCCCCTCATTTTGGAATGATTGGCTAATGGGATGGCCTAGCCCACCATTCTGGCTGCCATTTTCATTCTTTATGAGAAACCAACCATTGATAGCAACAGGGATGTGTCTCGACCCTTCAACTACACCAGGACTCTCCCCTCTTCCCCGCCCCTTGTTGGTTGGAGGCTAATTCCTATCTCACTTGGTATTGAAAACATGTTCGGTTTCGGCAGAGAGGGGAGACTTACCTGTGATGGGGGATCTGAGGCATTAACGGCCCGGAGGGCCCCTGAGTTGTGGGAACTCTGTATCTTCTTGGGGGCTGGGGTCTTGGTCATCTTGGAAATCCTTCAGGCTTAGCCTGTGTCCCCAAGGGGAGAGATTTTCCAGAATCTTCTACCTCAGCAGCCACCGGTGTGAGAAGCTCCAGCAATTTCTCCCTCTCAAGTGCCAATTAGAGGCTCCAAAGAGGTTTCGGACCCATGACTAATGGAAAGCAAGTCAGGTGGTTTTCCCACCAACAAGATAAGGAAGTCCAGAGGGAGCAGATAAGGAAAGTCTGTAATTACTCACTTTTTAGAAAGTTACAAACTTTTAGGAGCTTTCCCCCTCTTTGAAAAGGGGTATCTTTCTCTCTTATAAACAAAAATAAAACCTGAACTAAAAAAATAAACTCCACTGATAAGTCTGAGGGGGGGCCCATCGAGGGGCCTCCAGATCCCTATTTTAAGGCGGCTCCATGTGCGGCTCAGGTTCCCATTACAGGGAGAGAAAACGGCTGAAAACCACCGGGCTGGGCCTCTCGGTTGCCTAGCAACAAGACGCCGTTGAGGGCTTCCTCATTGGCTGGGATTGGTGGGGGCGTGGTTTCGAACTCCGGCTGCTGGGATGATGGATGGGAGCAGGTGGCTGGCCAGGGAGCCACATTCTCCAAACTCTGGTTTCTCCTCCTCTTAGGCCTGAGGACCTCGACCCTTTTTAACTACAAGGACTTATTCCTTTCCAACTCTGTGCTGTCCTGCCACTAACCCATTAGTGATTCCTTGTGTCTTGGGTTGGGTAGCTCAGTGGGTGCCTTTAGCCTCGCAATTACCTTAACCGGAAGGGCCTATTTCTCTTCTTTATTCACCTGACAAACTCCTACTCATCCTTCAAAGCCCCCCCCCCCCCCCCACACACACACCTACCTCGGTAGTGTGTGTGCATGACATTTGCTGAGTGCTTAGAACGTACTAGACCCTGCTCTGTTTTACATGTACTAACGCATCCTCACAAAACGTCTTTAAGGAAGGTATTGTAGGACTCTGTTTTATAGACTAGGAAACTGAGGCCAGGGAGACTGAATGACGTGCTCAAGGCCTCACACAAAGTGCCCGAGCTGGGGTTCAAAGCCAGACTGTCCGATTTCTCAAACCCAAGCTCTTCCCTGCCTCACGGCAGGACTCCGGGTAAGATGCCTACTTTGCTGAGGCTTGGCCTCCACAGCTTTAAACGGGAAAAGGACTTTACCCCCCAGGCCGGCGAGGATTAAGACAGATACTGTATGCAGAGGCTGAGCACACGGGGAGTCCTCGTTAAGTGGCCACTATCATTATCTCCTGACACCCCTCCCCAGGAAGAACCCATCATGCTTACAGTGCAGGGTTCATTTCACAGCAGATATTAATACTAATATTTATTGATCACTCGCTCTGTGCCAGGCGCTCTGCGAAGCGCTTTACGTACATGAATTTATTTAATCCTTCCAATAACCCTGCGGGGTAGGTTGCCAGCTTGCCGAAGATTTATTACATGTGCTCTCATTTGCATGCTCTGTCCTTGACATTATTTCACACTGGATCAATCTGACCAGTATTTTATCCCTCAGCCTTGAACTGCTGAGGATTATGATGTCATCGTGGCTGCATGGTGACGTCACCTTCCCGTTAGAAGGCCATCTGCTGCAAGATGACCCTCCAGGGAATACAGAATACAGATCCACACAGCTCCGGAGGCGGACGCTTGGAAGTCATTATTTTCTAGCCTTTGTCTGAAGACTGAGTCTGACCTTCTTTCCCCGGGAAGTTTTGCCCCTTCCTGCTTCCTCTGGGGGCAGCGTTAGCAATCAGCAGGGTCTTTCAGAAGGATGCAGATAAAAGGAATCAGGTTCAGAAGATGGGGCTGGGGCGGGACAGGACAAGAAAACAAGACAGAACGAGGCATGTTTAGCCCCAGCTGAACAGACAAAGGGCTATATTCACGTGGCTTTAAGGGACAGACATGGGGAAGAAAGACTCAACTAGTTCCATAGGAGCCCAAAGAATGGGAAGAGGGTTTGGCTCAAGATGAGGGAATCCACAGCAGAGCATTGTTTTCAAAGGTATGAGCCCTGGAGTCAGGCTGACTGGGCCCCTGAGCAGCCTCATTGATAATCTCAGAGGACTAAAGTGGGTACTCCACGAGAAGTACAATGCATAACAAAAAGGAGGCCCTCAATAAATGTCAACTCTTATTTTCTTGTTATTAATACCCACCTGTCGGAGCCATGTGAGAACTGGAAGTAGAAAGGGCTCTGAAATCAAGACCTGTGTTCAAATCCTGGCTCTGCCACTTACTGGTAATGAGCTCTTGGTCAAGTCTCTTCACCTCTCCCTACACCCCTCTGGGTCTCCCAAAGAAACCACTTATGTCCAAAATCTTGTTCCTGGGTCTCTGAGCCTCAGTGTCATCATGAATATAAGTGGTGATGGTTATGCCCGCCTTATAGAGTTGGGAGGACTAGGTGAACGGATGAATGTATACAGCACAGTACCCAGTAAGGGCTCAGGGCATGCTGGTTCCCTTCTCTGTTCACGAAGGGACCTGTTCCATAGGGAGAAAATGAGCTCCCCAGCCTAGAGGTGTTCCACCGAGTAAGGTCACATTCTGACCTCCTGGGGGTTAGGACCTCAATCTATGAATTTGGGAGGGACACAGACCAACCCATAACACTGAGCTAATGGCACACACAGTGTTGGATAGATGTTGCTGTGTATCCCTCAGAGATTTCAAACATCCCAATCTTCTCCTGTGAAATTCTGTGGCATTATGGGGTACCTTGATGCATAGTTTGGGAACCATGGGGCTATAAGAATGTTTTCTGCCTTTGAGCTGAGCAGCCTGGATGTGCAAGAAGTTAAAACCCACAGGAGTAGACATGAGGCTAAGACAAATTGGGGGAAGGGGGTGCGGATAGATTTCTCACCTCCTCTCCTGTCAGCGCATTCTGGAGCGTGTTCTGTACTCCTCCAGACGTCCCCTTCAGGACTGACTTAGGGGCCGCCCTAGTGCCTGCTCACCAATGACCCAGCTTTGGCTTCTTCCCTTTTCCTGCTTCACCTCCCTACGCCCCTCTGAAGTCCAAAATCTTGTTCCTGGGTCTGCTTCTGGGGCGACCCTGAGATCAGTGCTGTGTGGGATCACCAGGGAGTGTCCCCTTCCCTCATCTGCTGCATGAACGTGCCACCTCCTTTGGTGACCGTGCCCATGGCCGTCATCTTGCCGCTGCTCTCATGGATGTCTCGAGGAGTTGCCTGATACTCTCCACATTCCCTCAACACCGAAAGGACAGCACGTCCGCGATGCAAACACATCCCCCAGCAGCGAAATATTTGACAACCAAAGAGACGACGTGATTGTTTAATTCTTAATTCCTGGTTGATTTATGCAAAATATAGACTGAGAGACGTGAAGTGACAGGCATCCTCTCCTCCCAGTTTGCCAAAAGGCAAGGCATTAGAAAGAGACGTGTCGAGTAGAAGAAAAATGTTTGGAATGTGGTAGCTGAAGTGAAATATCAAAATCTGCTCAGCACTCGAGTTTCAGTCAGTGATACATATGTTTGGCATTAAAAACCTGTTGGAAAAGTCATCATTTTAAAAAATATCTTGAAAGGACTTTCCTGTGTGGCATCTGGCCCCCAGAGCACTCCTTCTGGGTATTTTGACGGAGATGTCAGCATTGGGTTAGGAATTATGGAGCCCAGGACAGAGTAAAGCTGGGGGCGCCCCTGGCCCCTGGAAGCTGGCAGCCTCTTGCTGAATTGCTGCCCAGATAAAGTAAGGCTGGCTAGTGAGTATTGGCACCACCTGCACGCGTTCCTGTTCCTCCTCCAATGAAAGCAGGGTTACTGCTTGCGTCCTTGCCTCTTGGGGGCTCTGTGGTTCCATCTCACATTCCTACCCCATCCCCCAAACCACACCCCAAGAGGGGGAGGTGCGTTGGGATTTGTGTAAACAAAGGAAGAACAAGTCATGTTAACCTCCTGCCCCTCCTCTTTCCCTTTATGGGGTCCAGGAAGGAGTGGGGCTTCCAGGAATGTTCTCAGTGAACTTCCCCCACCAGAAACCTAGAGTGTGGCCCACACAGGTTACATCGAAGGTGCTTTCCATCGTCACGTGCTTTATGTCACAGCTTGCTGGGAGGCCGGACGGGCTGGAGCTATGGAATTATTCATTCCAATTTTACAAAGGTGGGAATTGAAGCTCTTGGGTGTAGTGCTTTGTTAGTGGTGGAGCTCGCCTGAGAACTCAGGCTTCATGATTCCAAAGTGAGGGATTTATTTCCGCCCTCGGTCATCCTGTCCTGATGGTCTTTCACTTCAAGGTTGTGTGTGCTCGCGCTCAGTTAAGCAGAATGACCTGGGTTATCGCTGCAAACCCTGCTAGACAACTGGGATTTCCACGCTACCTGGGAGATGTTGACTTCTCCAGCCTTTGGCGGGGTGGAGTGGGGGAGCACTTGCTGGAACATCTACATAAAACATCTCAGTTCCCCATCACAGGTAGGAAAACTCGCCCCTGCCAGGTGTCCCCATGGATTTCCAACTTGCTCATAATTTCCTATTCAGCCCACGCTCTAGCCTGCTTCCCACCAGGTAGAATCATGTCTCCCCAGAAGATACGTTCAGGTCCTAAACTCTGCTGCCCGTGAATGTGACCTCATCTGGGCAGAGTTTTTGCTGCTATAATCAAGTTAGGGTGAGGTCATCCTGGATTAGGGCGGGCCCCCGTCCCATGACTGCTGTCCTTACGAGATGATTGAAATTTGTGAATAGAGACAACACACAAAGAGAACGCCGTGTGACCACAGAGGAAGGGATTGGTTGATGCATCTACATGCCAAGGAATGCCAGGGATTGCCAGCAACAACCGGAAGCAGGAGAGAGGCAAGGAAGGGTCCGCCCCCAGGACCTTCAGAGAGAGCAGGGCCCTGACAATGTGGGACTTCTAGCTCCAGAACTGTAAGGAAATACATGTCTGTTGTTTTCATCTCCCCCTCCCCCCCCCCCCCCCCCCCCCCCTCCCCCCCCCTCGAGTCA